AATTAAAAATGGGGCAGTGAGTCAGTGTTCATGAAAGCACTTTGTAAACTGTCAAATGTTCTATAAATTAGCTCTTGTTATGGTCCTTATAGTAATTATTATGGTTATTGCTAGTTGGCCAGGAGCTGGAATTCATTTCTGTCCCTCGTCACTTCCTTGGTCCGTAATTGGAGGGCCCACTCAATCGCCTTCCGCCAGGTCCTGCATTGTCATGCAGTGATCCCCACCGACTTCTCTCCATCTTTGCTGCCACCACCCCTGTGGGGACCAGCGTCATCTCTTGCCTGGAGGCCTGCAAAACCCTTCATGGGCTCTCTGTGTCCACGCAGGATCTTTGAGAAGGGAACTTCATGTCAAAATTCTTACTGGCTTCCCACTGACCTTGGTGTAAAAGCCATACGGCAGTTTGGCCTGTGGTCCCGGTGGCCTGTCCCTCGCCTGTCCCTTTGGCCTCTCTTTGAGCCACTTATCCCATTGTCACCACGCCTTGGGCACACTGCCTTTGAAAAGGCACCTTGAAAAGGGACCTAGGAAGGTGCCTACCCTAACTTAGATGGGTTTGGATCCTGTCCGCTTCGTATTATTTTGACGCTTATGCTTTTATATCTCTTAGCACGGAATCTGTGCCACGCTGCTATGTGCCCTTCCAGTATGGCAAAGGAGTGAAAAATACTCATGCACAATTGAGTTTTTAAACTTTTATTTTTTGGTTTAACTTACACCAGGGCTGAAAACCCCAAGTTGCATTCAGACAGTGGGGATTTTTTTTTTAAGATTTTATTTAAGAGCTGCTCCCGGAGTAGGGAGCCCGATGCGATGCAGGGCTAATCCCAGGATCCTGGGATCCTGACCTGAGCAGAAGGCAGATGCTTAACTGACTGAATTGCCCAGGTGCCCCCAGTGGGGATTTTTTTTAATACTTCCATTTTTTCCCTAATAAACTGTTGCAAGACTTAAAAAATAAAAAAGAGTCCCTTCCTACCTGTATGCTTTTGTCCTTGTCCTCCTCCTCCCCTCACCCTACACCTGCCATGCTCTGTCCTTGGCTCTTGGTGATCCGATCCCCTTCTTGTCCTCGATGCCAGCTTAAATGTCACTTCTTTAGGAGGCTGAGCACTCTACCTAAAGTCAGCCCTGCCCCCAATGCTTTTATTTTTTATTTTTTTCAGTTGAAATTTTTATGGAGCTAATTGTAGATTGACATGCAGTTGTAAGAAACAACACCGAGCGATCTTGTTACCATCTGTTCAGGCTGCTCTAACAAATATCACAGGCTAGGGGGCTTGAACAACAGACATTACTTCTCACAGTGCTGGAGGCTGGAAGTCCAAGATCAAGGTGCTCGCAGATTTGGTTCTTGTTGAGGGTCTTCCTGGTTTCTAGAGAACCACCGTTGCGGTCTCACATGGCCTTTCTTTCCGGGGACCTCCTGTGTGTTCGTCTCTGTGTAAGGGCACCAATCCCATCATGAGGGCTCCACCTGCCCCACCTCATCTTCACCCAATCACCTCCCCAAGGCCCCACCTCCAAATACCATGCAGGTTTCCCCAGCTTTACAAGTACTCCTGTGTGTGTATGTGTGTGTATTTACTTCTATGCAATTTTATCACCTGGGTAGGTTCACGTATCCTTCACCCCGATGAAGACACTGGACAATTCCAACACAACAAGTGTCCCTTGTGTTTGTCCTTTCATGGCCATACCCACCTCCGTTCTGCCTGTGTTCTGCATCCCTAAACCCTGGCAACCGCCAGTCTGTCCTCCACTTCTAAAACGTGGTCATTTCAAAAATGGAATGTGAATGGAATCTTCCAATATGTAACCTGGGGTTGGCTTTGTCTGCACAGCATAGTTGTCTGGAAAGTCACCAGGCTTTGTCTGCTCAGCATAGTTGTCTGGAAAGTCACCAGGCTTTGTCTGCTCAGCATAGTTGTCTGGAAAGTCACCAGACTTTGTCTGCACAGCATAGTTGTCTGGAAAGTCACCAGGCTTTGTCTGCTCAGCATAGTTGTCTGAAAAGTCACCAGGCTTTGTCTGCGCAGCATAGTTGTCTGGAAAGTCACCAGGCTTTGTCTGCGCAGCATAGTTGTCTGGAAAGTCACCAGGCTTTGTCTGCGCAGCATAGTTGTCTGGAAAGTCACCAGGCTTTGTCTGCGCAGCATAGTTGTCTGGAAAGTCACCAGGCTTTGTCTGCGCAGCATAGTTGTCTGGAAAGTCAGCCAGTATGTGTGTGCTCAATAGTTCATTCCTTTCCACGGCTGTGTAGTGTTCTGTGCTTGGCACGCCCCACAGCCTAGTAACCATTCACCATTGCCAATTCTCTTATCATGTCTATTCTGGTCCCCCCCTTTTCCACCCCCTCCAGCACTCAGGCACTCATCCTCCTCTGAAATCCTTTCGTGAGCATGTTTTCTTATCTATCGTGTCTCTCCTGCAGCAGAATGTTAAGTCTAGGGTATCAGAGAGCCTGGCCTGTGTGTGATCTGCTGGGCCTTTCTTGAGCATAGTGCCTGGCGCATTCAGAAACTGTTGGATGAAGGTGTGCCTGAGCCCACAGCGACAGCAGATCTGGGAGAAGTATGCAGTGGCTGAATAAGTGGTCAGGGAGTGACCGGGGGCAAACTTGACTTCTGCAGAATTCATGTATCTCATATAGCGGCTAGCAGTAAAATTGCTTTGTAAGGGAAAGGTTATCCTTGAAAATCCTTTAAATCACCTAGAAACTGCTGGAAGTAGGATCCTTGGAAGCTCAAAAGGTGAGAATTAACTCCTTTGCTTTTCTGGACATTTGAATTGTGGGCTCCACAACCACAGGGGAGTGGGGGGCAAGGCTGCTGAATGGGGATTATGGTGAGAGGGTCACCAAAGGGATTCATTCTCTTTTTGGAGGGGCCAAGGGGAGATGAATTTATGTAAATGACTATGCAGTGTAGTGGGCACATGGTGTAATGTGCATGCGCAGCGCAGCGTGTATAGGATGTAATGTGCATATGATGTAAGGTGCAGAGCGGTAAGGAGTATATGCTGTAAGATGTTTAAGGTGTAATGTGCATGCATAGCGCAGCGTGTATAGGATGTAATGTGCATATGCTGTAAGGTGCCTAAGGTGTAATGTGCACACACAGCGCAGCATGTATAGGATGTAATGTGCATATGCTGTAAGGTGCAGAGCGGTAAGGAGTATGTGCTGTAAGGTGCCTAAGGTGTAATGTGCATACACAGCGCGGCGTGTATAGGATGTAATGTGCATATGCTGTAAGGTGCAGAGCGGTAAGGAGTATGTGCTGTAAGGTGCCTAAGGTGTAATGTGCATACACAGCGCGGCGTGTATAGGATGTAATGTGCATATGCTGTAAGGTGCAGAGCAGTAAGGAGTATATGCTGTAAGGTGCCTAAGGTGTAATGTGCATACACAGTGCGGCGTGTATAGGATATAATGTGCATATGCTGTAAGGTGCAGAGCGGTAAGGAGTATGTGCTGTAAGGTGCCTAAGGTGTAATGTGCATACACAGCGCGGCGTGTATAGGATGTAATGTGCATATGCTGTAAGGTGCAGAGCGGTAAGGAGTATGTGCTGTAAGGTGCCTAAGGTGTAATGTGCATACACAGTGCAGCATGTATAGGATGTAATGTGCATATGCTGTAAGGTGCAGAGCGGTAAGGAGTATATGCTGTAAGGTGCCTAAGGTGTAATGTGCATACACAGTGCGGCGTGTATAGGATGTAATGTGCATATGCTGTAAGGTGCCTAAGGTGTAATGTGCATACACAGTGCAGCATGTATAGGATATAATGTGCATATGCTGGAAGGTGCAGAGCGGTAAGGAGTATATGCTGTAAGGTGCCTAAGGTGTAATGTGCATACACAGTGCGGCGTGTATAGGATGTAATGTGCATCTGCTGTAAGGTGCAGAGCGGTAAGGAGTATGTGCTGTAAGGTGCCTAAGGTGTAATGTGCATACACAGTGCAGCATGTATAGGATGTAATGTGCATATGCTGTAAGGGGCAGAGCGGTAAGGAGTATGTGCTGTAAGGTGCCTAAGGTGTAATGTGCATACACAGTGCAGCATGTATAGGATGTAATGTGCATATGCTGTAAGGGGCAGAGCGGTAAGGAGTATGTGCTGTAAGGTGCCTAAGGTGTAATGTGCATACACAGTGCAGCATGTATAGGATGTAATGTGCATATGCTGTAAGGGGCAGAGCGGTAAGGAGTATGTGCTGTAAGGTGCCTAAGGTGTAATGTGCATACACAGCGCGGCGTGTATAGGATGTAATGTGCATATGCTGTAAGGGGCAGAGCGGTAAGGAGTATGTGCTGTAAGGTGCCTAAGGTGTAATGTGCATACACAGCGCGGCGTGTATAGGATGTAATGTGCATATGCTGTAAGGGGCAGAGCGGTAAGGAGTATGTGCTGTAAGGTGCCTAAGGTGTAATGTGCATACACAGTGCAGCATGTATAGGATGTAATGTGCATATGCTGTAAGGTGCCTAAGGTGTAATGTGCATACACAGCGCAGCATGTATAGGATGTATTGTGCATATGCTGTAAGGTGCAGAGCGGTAAGGAGTATATGCTGTAAGGTGCCTAAGGTGTAATGTGCATACACAGTGTGGCGTGTATAGGATGTAATGTGCATATGCTGTAAGGTGCAGAGCGGTAAGGAGTATGTGCTGTAAGGTGCCTAAGGTGTAATGTGCATACACAGTGCAGCATGTATAGGATATAATGTGCATATGCTGTAAGGTGCAGAGCGGTAAGGAGTATGTGCTGTAAGGTGCCTAAGGTGTAATGTGCATACACAGCGCGGCGTGTATAGGATGTAATGTGCATATGCTGCAAGGTGCCTAAGGTGTATGAATAGGCATGCACGGTACGGCATGAATAGGATGCAATGTGAATATGCTGTAAGATATATTTGCTGTAATGTGCATACACTGTAAGGTGCTTTGTCGTGGCTTATCTGTTGTCTCTCTGCTCCTTTGTTCCAACTTAGGAGGCAACCTTTCCAAACAAGACTGGACCATCCAGTGGCCCACCACGGAGACAGGGAAGGAGAACAACCCTGTGTGCCCCCCGGAGCCCAGCCCGTGGGTCCGCACACACCTCTCCCAGAGCCCCAGGGTCCAGACCAAGTGCATCCAACACTACTCTCACGCTGGCCCCTCGCCCGGGGCCCCCGTGTACACGCATGTGGACAGGCTCACCGTGGATGCCTACCCGGGTCTGTGCCCGCCGCCGCCACTGGAGTCAGGCCACCGTTCCCTGCCCCCGTCGCCCCGGCAGCGGCACGCCGTCCGCACCCCGCCGCGCACCCCCAATATCGTCACCACCGTGACCCCACCTGGTACACCACCCATGAGGAGGAAGAACAAGCTGAAGCCCCCGGGGACCCCACCGCCGTCTTCCCGGAAGCTGATCCACTTGATTCCAGGTTTCACGGCCCTGCATCGAAGCAAGTCCCATGAATTCCAGCTGGGTCACCGTGTGGATGAGGCCCACACACCCAAGTAAGTGTGTTTGGCGGGTGCCCTGGGGCCGCTGAGCCCTGGGGGCGGTCAGGGGCTGCTTCGTGGCCCCAGGACCACCCCGGGTTAGGGGAGCCTCGAATGCACTTGTGTTTTCTTTCTTCAGTTGAATGAGAGGTGGCTTTTCACGGAAGGCCAATGAGAAAATGAATAGCACTTTCCAGAATTGGAAATTTTATGAGATAGATTCTCTAAAGCAGGACTCAGTAAACTATCGCCTAGGGGCCAAATCTGCATTTCTTGCAACGCAGTCAGGTTCACTCCCATGTTCATTGTCCGTGGCTGCTTTCCTGCCCCACGGCTGAGTTGGGTCCAGCCTGCAAAACCGAAAATATTTGCCAGCAGGCCCTTGGGCAGGGAAAGCTTGCTCCTGCCGACTCTATCTTAGCGCTGCCTGTAGAAAGAGGCTGTGAGCTGCATACCTAACCTTACATTTTCTAGTATTGCATTAAAGACAGTGAAAAGAAACAAGTGATATTTTTCTAATATGTGTCATTTAACCCAATATGGCAAAATATTACCATTGCAACATAGAATCGATATAAAATATTAACACTGAAATATTTTGCATTCTTTTTTCCTTATGAAGGCTTTGGAATCCAGCTCATCTCAATTCAGACTCCCTGCACTCTAAGTGTGCAATGGCCCATGGGGCCGTACTGGGCAGCATGTGGGGGAACACGCTAGTGTTTATAATGAAAAGGCATGTCCGGGTCTGCTTGGGGTTGGGAGTGGGTCAGAGAGTGGGGAACTAGACTATCAGAGCAAAGGACTTCACACAGAAGCTTAGGGTGGGCCTGTAGGTGTCCAGGGGGGAACATCATCAAAGTGGGGTGCAATGTGTGCCTGGCTCTGGTTTGGGGGGGATCTTGCTGCCAGTAGAGGGTGACACAGCATCTGCAACTACATATTGGCCTGCAGGAGGGACGGGGAAGCTCTCTGCAGGGCCCCTTGGAGGCTGACGGTGGCCCAGGTCCCTTGTATTCTTTTGAGGCTCTCAGTGTATTGAAAATGGAAGAAATGCTAAACAGGCTTCCAAAAGTGGGTAGCATGTTTTAAATATTTACACTTGAACAAAATTGCCACGAAGGCATAGAACATAAAATGATAATTTATAATCTCACTAGGAGACACCAATAAGGGGTCTGAGTTTGGCAGCTGTTGTGTGTCAGAGCCCTGGACCCCTGCTCTGGGATCCCTGCAGCTAGGATGTGGGGGAGCAATGGGGAGAGTTCCATTGCATTTCTAGCACGTGAAGGCCCATATGGGGGGCTGAGGCCAGCCAGAGACAGAGTGTCTGGCCCAGGCTCCTGTAGGAAACAAAGTGCAGAGGCCCTGGCTGAACCTGATCTTCACTTTGGCTTCCTGTGACATTGCAGAAGCTCTCAGGGATTTTCAGACCCTCACCCCCATAGTTGTACCCATTTACCTTTGACTCAGGCATTTATCCAGAGCTGGCTCTCTGTCCTGGGTAGGTATGTGGAAGGACTCAGGGGGCCTGCCCCAATCTCAGACCTACTCCCTTCCTCCTGTCTCAAGCAATAGAGAGCCCATGTGGCTGTCATCTGTTACTTTTGTGACACGGTCCCAGAAGCCACTGGGACTCACACCTGACCCCTCCTGTTGCTGTCAGTCACCCCCTCGGGGGGTTCAGGGTGACACCTCCCTGCAAGGGTCTTCACTGTTTGAGCCAGCATCTTGTGAGCTCTCATCAGCCTATGCAGGTGGATCTAAGACATCGATTGTAAGTTGCATCCTGAGATAAACGTAAAAAATATGTCTGTCTTAGAACTGATGAAATGTGGTTTGTTCTCGGCTCTGGGCTAGTCAATGGGGGTATAGTGGGAAGCAAAGATATAGCCTTGGTCTCGTGAAGTCTGAGATTAATCAAATAACCACACATAAATATTATAAGACTGTGTCCAGTAATTACAAACAGTGTTAGAGGTTCTAAAGATGCAGGGCAGGGCACCATCAGAGCTTATGACCAGATGGGGCTGATCGAGTTTGAGCTGGCAGGGAGGTGAGTGGGGGAACTAGGGAGAGCCTGGTCTCAGAGAGTTCCCCGAAGTGATGTTTAGACTGAAGGCTAAGGAGGGGTTAAGAGGGTGAAGGGGTAGAAGTGGAGGGCATGGGGAGTATCCGGCTGAGGGGTGGAAGGGGGCACCATACATCTGAGGAATTGACAGAGGGTGACAGAAGTCCTCTATGGCTGAGGGACCAAGGCAAGTGATGCAGGAGGAGACTCAAGAATTAGGAGGCAGAACTCTTCACAGCAGCTCCAAAGTGGAAACAGCCCAGTGTCCGTCGGTGGATGGAAGGATAAACACAATGTGCCCACTCTAGCCAGTGAGATATTATTCAGCCGTCAACAGGAATGAAATTCTGACACATGCTTCAACGTGGATGAATCTCAAAAACAGTACGCCAAGTAGAAGAAGCCAATCACAAAAGGATCCACTTGTTATGTATGAATTCACTTATACGAGGTACCCAGATTTACAACAACAACAAAGAGTTAGGCAGGAAAGCTAGGGGTTGGCAAACTTTTCCCATAGAGGGCCAGATAGTGAATATTTTAGGTTTGGCGGGCCATGTGGTCTGCACCTCTCCCAATGGAGCAGAAGCAGCTGTGGACAACAGGTAAATGAATGGACATGGTGATGTTCCAATAAAACTTTATTTGTAAAAAAAAAAAAATAGGGGCCTGGCTGAGTTTGGTGCCCGAGGCTATAGTTTGCTCTGTCAGAAGCTGTGCTATAGAGAATGATTCTCCCTTATAAGGCACTGGGAAGGTCTTCAAGGTGGAAGGCATGATCACATATGATGGTCACTCATGGTCTGAGGCTGTGGTTTCTCCCAACTGCGCATCTCCCTCACCCCTCCCTGTGCTGACCCCCAGGAGTTGTGGAACTTGAAAGAAGGCTCTACGGACACATGATCTTTGCTCTATAAGGAAGGGGTGAAGTGAGAGAGGCTGACCTTTAGGGGCTTTCTCTAGCTTTATCGACATAGAATATTATGTACATTTAAGGTGTGCAAGATGATGATTTAACACACAGAGGTATTGCAAAATGATTACCACAATAAGGTTAGTTAACACCTCCATCACCTCACATGATTTTTTTTTTTGTGGTGAGCATATTTAAGATTTATTCTCTTAGCAACTTCCAAGTATATAATACAGTGTTGTTAACTATAGTCACTAGGCTGTGCACAGGTCCCCGAAACTTACTCATCTTATAACTAGAAGTTTTCATCTTTTAGCCAACATCTCCCCATTTCCCTCAGCCCCCAACCCCAGGCAACCACATTTGATTCTCCGTTTCTGTTTGATGTTTTTAGATTCTACATATAAGTGAGGTCATGCAGTATTTGTCTTTCTCTGTCTGACCGATTTCACTCAGCATAATGCCCCTCAAGGTCCATCTATGTTGTTGCAAATGGCAAGATTTCCTTCCTTTTTATGGCTGAATAATATTCCATTGCGTGTGTAAGTGTGTGTGTAACATTTTCTTTATCCATTCATCTGTCGACAGACACTTAGGTTGCTTCCATGTGTTGGCTACTATGAATAATGCTGCAGTGAACAAGGGGATGCAGATGTCTCTTCTAGATGGCAACTTCATCTCCTCTGTGTCTATACCCAGAAGTAGAATGGCTGGATCATAGGGTAGTTCTATTTTAATTTTTTTGAGGAACCTCCATACTGTTTTCCATAGTTGTTGCACCAATTTACATTCCCACCAGTGGTACACGAGGGTTCCCTTTTCTTCACATCCCTACCAGAACTTATCATCTCTTGTCTTTTTGATAATACCCATTCTGATGGGAGTGAGGTGATGTCTCATTGTGGTTTTGATTTGCATGTCCCTGATGATGAGTGATGTTGAGCAGCTTTTCATGGATCTGTTGGCCATTTGTATGTCTTCTTTGGAAAAAATGTCTATTCAGGTTCTCTGCCTATTTAAAAATCAGATGATGATGACTTTTTGCTATTGAGTTGTAAGAGTTTCTTATATAATTTGGATATTAATGCCTTATCAGATTGGCAAATATTTTCTCCTGTTCCATAGATTGCTTTTTCTTTTCTTTTTTGCTGTGCAGAAGCTTTTTAGTTTGGTATCATTCCATCTGTTGATTTTTGCTTCTGTTGCTTGTACTTTTGGTATCATATCCCAAGAAGTCACCAAGGAGCTTTTCCCCTATGGTTTCTTCTCAGAGTTATGCTTTCAGGAGTTAAGTTTAAATCTTTAATTCATTTTGAGTTAATTTTTGTGAATGGTATAAGGTAGGGATCCAGTTCTATTCTTTTGCTTGTGAATATTCAGTTTTCCAGTGCCATTTATTGAAGACATTATCCTTCCTCTTTGAGTGTTCTTGGTTCCCTTGTCAAATATTAGTTGACCATATATACTTGGGTTTATTTCTGGGCCTTTGATTCTGTTCCATCGGCCTATGTGTCTATTTTTATGCCAGTATCACACTTTTAATGTGAGCCTTTCCCCAGACCCCTGAGGGATTTACTTTGTCTGGATAAGGTTGAATCACCTACTTTTTCAAGGCCTTCCAAATTGACTCGTCTACCATCAGCTGTTTTAGAAATTGTCTATCAGGATTTAGGCCAAGTTCAGCTTTGTCCATCAGGGTTCTTCTGTCCAATTTAGCAAGTTCACCACTTCCTTGAAGAAGGTACTTCTCCTGGCTCACTTCACAGGATGCTGAGATTCATGGCATGGAAGCAGCAGAGTGGTCAGGTTCTTGGTGTCGAGATGCAGTGTGACCACTTGGCCTTGGACTCAGTCATTAGATCCACAGGGATTTTAAGGTACCTGGCCTTTGGGAATTAAAAAAAAGTCCACGACAGAGACAATGGCACTTTGGACTGTATGGGCAGGGGGAGCAGGGGAAGAGATTCAATCAAATTAGGGAAGGGTTTTCAGAGACACATTAGTTCAGTTGAGTTCCAGTAAGTAGACTGA